ATTTCTGTGTATTTGAGGTGAACTCTGTGCTTCTGAGAGTTCAGCCTGCGGTTTCACTAGTATTTATGCCATAATTAGCAGTAAATTCAAAGTTGTAGGTTTTTCTCAAATACATTAATTTATAACTCCTACCACAGAATGCATTTCTTGCATTTTTGTATGGTAAACTTGGTGCAGGCAAGGATTTTCTTACCTAATCTTGGTGTCTTTTTTTTCATGCGCTATAGTGACCAACACATGGTAGTTCCTTCAGGAATTTATTTTCTGGCTAAATGTAGTCTGTTTATTCCATTGACTTACATTTGACACTAATATTATACAATCATTCTAATTTAGCACATTTAGAATCATGATTCTATTATCATAACATTTTAATCATTTATAACCTTGAATCACCTGTAACTTTGATAAACTTGTATCTTTATATTATAGACAAGTAGTCTGATAGACTCAAGGACAAAGCCTTGTCTCATTGAGGTGTTTCCTACTTAGTGCATGAGAGTGTTTTTAAGAATCTTCTGGGATTCATTCATAATTATGCTCATATTTCTTCAAGTTTTCACACTTTTTCCTACAAACTTTTTTTTTTCTACACACTTTTTGATAGGTCTTTTGTCTTCCATTTTTCACCCTTCACAGATTAACAGTAGTTTTAGGAAGTTTATCATCTTTCATTTAAGAGGTTAACTATACGCTAAATATCATTAGGCCATTTTTTTGAAATCTGTTAAAGGCCACAACTTAGAAGTTATAGAACAATGTAATAGTTTCCTTTTCCTGTAAGAAGTATTATTAACTGTCAGGGTTTCTTTTTATGTTATCCAGATACTTAGCCATTGTTTATGCTGTAATCCTTATTAAATATTGAAGATGTTTAATACTGCCTGCTGAAGGACTTTCAGGTCTTATCAATTAAGTTAGTAGAATTTTCAGATTAAGTGATGGTGGAACTGAGATTATTTTTTAAACCAGTTTTGTGAGGTATAATGCATACGCAAGTTACTGATTTTCAATGTATAGTTCAGTACATTTTCACACATTTGCAGTCATGTACCCACTACTACACTCATGCTGTAGAACATTTCCATTACCTCAGCATGTTTTCTCCTGCCTCTTTGCAGGAAGTTCCTTCCTCCACGCCCATCATGGCAATCCTTGATTTGCTTTCTGTTGTAGTTTCCCCTTCTCGATAAATGGGATCATACATTTAGTCTTTTGTATGTGGCATCTTTTCCATAATGTATTAGTCTGGAGATTCCTTGATATTGTATAAATCAATAATTTTTTTGTTTTATACTGCATAGTTTTTTCCATGTGTGATATACCATTATGTGTTTATCATTCACCAGCTGACCACCATTTGTGTTGTTTCATATTTGGGGCTGGCATGAATGAAGCTGCTATGAAATTCTCTGTGCATTAAAATTTCTCTTGTTTTTATAACTGGGAATTGAATTGCTGAATTATATGAGAAGTGTGTGTTTTACAGTACTTTATAAGAAACTGCCAAATTATTTTCCCAAGTGCCTGTGACAATTTGTATTTTTCATCAGTTTTTTTGTAAACAGTGTTTTCTAACTTTTAATTTAGCCATTTAAGGTGATATATTAGTAAGGAGTTATTTTACATTTCTGAGACTAATGATGTTGAAAGTCTCTTCCTGTGCTTACATAGTATTTATTTTTATTGTAAAATTGTGTATTGAAATCTTGCTCCCCCCACCCATTTAATATGGTTATTTGAATTTTAATGCCATTAGGGAGTTTATAGGATGAAATAAAAATAAGCTACCATTGTGCCTGCAGGGTATTGGTTTCAGGACACACACACCCCCTTGAATACAAAAATATGAGAACCCTCAGTCATTTGTATAAAGAGCATAGTATTTACAAAGAGCCTATATGTTACCATATACTTTAAATCATCTGTAGATGACTTATAATGCCTAATATAATATAAATGCTATGTAATAGCTGTTACATTGTCTTGGTGAGGGAATAATACCAATAATAAAAAAATACTGTACATGTTTAGTACAGATGAAAAATATTTCCCAAATATTTTCAATTGCTTGAATCCACAGATTTGGAATCTGCAAGTACAGAAGGCTGGCTGTATTTTATTACTTTAGTGGTTTAGTTAGAAAGAATCCTTAATGGATATTTCATTTTCTGAGTGTCATTTTGTTCTTTTGGGCATATGTAGAGGGCTTAAATCTTACTTAGCCTTGTAGCATGTACTCTTTACTTCATCTGAATCTGTTAACTCAGCTTCCGTGGGAATACCGCCTGTGAATTCACTAACTACTGTACCCCTCTGAACATAGACACATACACACACACACACACACACACACACACACCCTCATCCCATGCAAACCTTGACTTCATAACCACTGTTTAGGTCTCCCTTGGTTATCTCATTCATCAGTTTGCAATACACAGGCACCATGCTTTTTGGGTTGCAGGAATCCAGCACTGTGCAGGATAAACAATGGGCTAGTAGACAGATCACTATCAAGGATAATAATCTGCTGTTTGGAGTAAATTGAATGCTCTTGAGCAATTCCTGACATTTAGAGAATACAAGTTCTGTATAATATATCTAATATGAAATCATTTTGAAATTCTTACTTTAAAAGTTGCTTATGTGACTTTTGCCTATAGAATACCTATTTTTGCTTGATAGCTACTTGTAAAATCTACTTGAAATATATTGTAGCAGGCCTTTTATTATGTTGTGATTATGAATAAGAGAGCAAAATTGTATTTTTAAAGCATCTGTATATAGGTTAGACAACCTAAGTATATCACATTTTTATTTCAGATTTCTTGTGGGCCTTACTCACTTAATTTAACTTTATCAGTAGAGCAAAAGGCAGTTTGTATATTCTTGGTAATTTTGAGCAGTGTTTATATTCACATAAAGTTGCATTGACTTATGTAGTATTTACACTGCCTGGATTAGTATTTTTTGTCTTGCATCAAAAAGATGAAATTACAAGCCCTTCCAAGACTATTTCAGGAAATTAAAGATCAGTTATGAATTAAAAGAGCACTGGATTGGGGCATGTAGAAAATCTGAAATCTAAGGTGGGCTTAGTTGTGTGACTTTGGAATATTCTCTTAACCACTCTGGGCTTTCATTTCATCAGGGCAAAGAAGTCAGCCAGAGCAGATGTCCCTATAATTTTTAAAGCCTTAAGCACACACACAATGAATTACTTTTATTAGAATAAATTTGATTTCACATGAAAATTTTGAAGATAAATCCAATCTCAGATTTCCTCATTTGTGTTACTATTCCCTATCTCAATCATAATTGCATGACTCTCTCTCTCTGAGTCATTGTAGTCATGGTTTGCCTTTTATATATTTTCTCTCTTTAATCATGAGAATGAAAAGGCAAAGATAATGCTAAAGATAAAAAGGAATTTTTGATACAGCTTTTGACCAAAACAAAAAACTGGTTGTAAAATATTACAGTATAAAACTATTTGATTTATTATTATGGGTTACAGTCATTTTTAAATAGCATTCAAACAGGTTTAAATTTCCCTAAAATAATATTGTAAACATATTATTTCATTAGTTTCAATTTCTGGTGTCCCATCTACTATATTTCAGCAAAGTCCTAAAAGCAACCAGAAAGAGCCATGAAGCTATTTCTATTTAATTCTAATTCTAAACTTTACTTTGTTTTTGTAGAACACTGTTAAGTAATTGAGCAAGAGTAAAGTTATTTAGAAAGTTTTACAGTTGAGTGTGGGAAGCATCAGTCTTAGTTGTTATTTAAGGAGACATCTTCGGGGTTTTTTGTTTGCTTGTTTGTTTTTGTTGTAAGGTATACAAAATCTGGCTCAAGATTTCCAGCCCTACTAGTAAACTTTAGGCATCTAGTTCATGACATTGCTCCAGGAAGGGCATAATGATGGTTGAGAGTCTAGAATACACCTAAATGAAATCATCCTTACCCCTTCTCTGTTAGGTGGTTTTAAGCATTTCCTCCAAATATTTTACTATTTGTTACTCTTCTAACCGTGCAAAATATATCAGAAATTTCAATAAGAAATAAATGCATTGCAACCAGAATATTTACCTTCCTTGTGTGATAAGCTCCCACTTTTCAAGTAAACAGAGTCTTTTGCACTGATAGTGACCTACAAAAGCAGATGCTAGAGGAGAAGACAGTTAAAATTTCCACCACAGTATTTTCTGTTTTATTTCAGATATCTAGATAACAGTTGTTTTTATGATTCCCCCTAATCAGTCCAAATACTGTAAAGATAGCGCCACAGCTCACAGACCCTCACTGTCTCTGTAGGCCCTTAAGGTACCCCAAGCCCCACACCACGGTTGAGTCATGTTACTGCTGGCTCAGGTAGAATGCTAATTTTTTTCCTTCCAGAAAATGAAGTGCTGGGGTCATACTGTCTCCAAAGTCTTTTCTTGAACCAGGAAGAAGCAGTTCCAGGACAAGCAACACTGTTCTTGGTTTTGAGTTCAAGTCAGGGCTGCATTCCAAGGGCAGTACAACCTACAGCACTTAACATGTTGTTTTCTCCCTTTGCAACATAAACAAAATTCCTGAAATACATGTATCTGTGTTCCCTTCCCTTGTTTTGCTGTGGCTTTTGAGAAGGCTTCACCATTTCCTGATTCTATGAGCTGAAAAGGATTGACAAGTCTTGCTGGGGGATGTTGAGTTTGGGATGATGGAGAGCCAGGGTTCCCCAGGCTAACTGCAGTTCATAGGCTGTCCTCTGTTTGTTTTCTGTTGAATACACAAAGCTTACCCTGTAGTTGGATTTTGTTTTCTTGGGAACTAATTTAAATTTTGCTAGAGCAATTAAATTAGTAAAGGGCTTTGAACGCTGCCTTTCCCAGGTGTATTAAGAAATGTACTAAAATATGTAGTGGAAATCAGTTTCTTTTTAATGCTACTTTTAAATCACTTGTATTTTCCAGCGTAATTTTTAATCTGTGTCCATTTCCTTTTAGAAAGCCCCAAATCAGATATTCAGAGAACCAATCCTGTTTTTTTCCGAATCTTGAATTGGAAGCCACGGGAGTCTGTAAAGCCTAAAAGGGAAATAAAAGGTAATTACATTTAGTATGATATATTATTAAATCCATGTGTAAGTCTGACCTTGTATAACCCTTTATGTGTTGAATTGAATTGAGGTATCTTGTTCTAATTTTTTTCTCTACCTTTTCTGTTTTTCCTTTCCTTCCTTTTTCTCCCCCTTCTCTTGCCCTCCTGTCTCCTTCTTTCTTTGTGTTCATTCAGCACTTTTGTGGAGTTAGATTTGAGCCAGTCATTGTTCCGAACACACGTGCTCTTGTGCAATTCCTACCTCCCACAGAATGCTGACCTCTCATGACATCCTCACCTCTAGAACTATCTTTACTTCTCTCATGCCCTGGCAGGAATGGCAGGGATTGGTAGAAATCACCTGTTTGAAAATGGTGGCTCCCAGACTGTGCCAAATGAAGAAATACAGACTTGGCTGCCATTGGTCCAGCCAAGAGCCTAGACCCTTTGCCTGCTTCGCACACGTACCCTCCCTCTCTGTCCTTGTTGGCTCTGAAATGCATGAACTTTTCCCAGTCTTCTGAGCTCTCCTAGATATTTGCTTGCAGTGGCTTTTTTTCAGAATTCTGAACTCTCTCTTTCTTTTTAAATTTCTCCCATTTGTACTGTTAGAATCAGAAGCACTCATAAGTAAGTAAAGCAGCAACAGTTTGCTATTCCCCAACTGCTGAATATGTGAATATTCCCAATGGCTGTAACAACTGGTGAGTTTTTTTTTCCAGTCATTAACATAGGACCCATAATGTAAGAAAAAAATAAATGTAGAATACAAAAATATGCTTTAAAGTCACTCCTAAGAGAAAATGTTTAATTAAGTTACACATACCTTAATTATCTTTCCATGCATATAATAATGTTTTTAAAAGGCAATTAGTCTGAAATAAGTGTCTTTAAATTTAAATATTTGGCGTAAAGGTGGTTTAATAATTTTTGCTAAATGTTAATGCCTTATTCTTGCTCTTGGTCCTTGATAGTTTAAGTGGTGATTTTTGTGAGTTTGGTTCTGTTAGCTTGGTTTATTTTGATGATATTTTGTATATCCCCGCATACTCACTGTTTTACTTTCTTTTCTTTTTCTTTTTTTTTTTTTTTTTGGTGTTGGGGGTTTGACTCGGGCTCCGCTTTGGCG